GCTGGGTGAAGGTGGGGCACCGATTCACCTCTGGTTTCCCACGGTTTGAAAGAAAAACCAACCAAGCGCGACTGCACTGTGAGCTTTCTGCATACGCTTGGAAGTCATCGTCAAACCCAGCTTCGCTTTGCCTAGCAAAAGTGAGGTGCGGACGTGGCGACATGGCCACATGGGGCGCATCCTTCGCAAGTCAGCTCTTAGAAGTGTGCACAGAGCTTGGGTGCCTCAGGCCTACAGCGGACGTCAGAGCATCGCGGGGGCTGTTATTGCTGTTGTCTAGTTTCTAGCGTGTCATGCTGTGTCTGCGTTGAGTCTTTGGCCAAACCCTGCTCCTCCGCCAGGGGTATGCGAGAGCCTGCAACAAGCGTCTCCCTCACTTGCAAATTTGCTGCACTCATCAGACGAAAGGTTCTTGGCTGCAGGAACTGACATAGCGAAAGAGACTGTGTTGGGCTTGTAACTTTGGTGTCCACCTGCATCGACTGCGTGGGCATTGCCGCCGCCTTGGTTTGATGAAATTTTACGGCCGGGCGCCATGATTGTATAGCGGACATGACACATACATGTGGCGACATGTCAGATGTGACCTGGTCCACGCGCTCGGATGTCCAAGGCGCCACTGCTCCGTGACGTGCCGCTGTCCATCGCAGTACTGGTCGAGTCATCATCCTGCTTTCATGTGCTCCAGGTGAGTTAATCCAGTCTCCTAGGGAAACTAAAGTTATAAAGTTAATCCAGTCTCCTAGGGGAAACTAAAGGTTAACCTTTGGGATCAGATTATTTAGGGATATTAAGGAAGTGTTGTAAACATTAGGCACACAATTGACCGCGTGCCTATGTTCAAGGATATCACGTATCTGCTGGCCAGCGATTACACGACAAGTACCCTAAACCAACCCTTTAGACGCCAAGCCATGCGATTCCTGGCCGTTCTCTGGGCTCGCGGGATCTTTCAGTGCTGGTGTCCCATCGCCCCTGGATGGTGAGGGTTCCTCTGCCTCAGCGGGTGCTGCTCTTCTCGTTGATTGCAGGAACCGTGTTGTGTGACGTTTTGGGGCACTCGGGCGCGCGTATCCGAGACAACCTCGGTGCCAAGCTCTCAGCGCGGCGTTCGCCTGCGACCTGAACAGGATTTCTGTATAGGTGAGTTAGTTCAATTATGTACAGTGCATACCGATATGATTTTTGAAGTATCGTTAAATACAGAGAGAACGAGAGAGCAACACAAAGCCCAAGAATGTGAAGCGCATCCTCGACCACAGTATGAGGGAGTTACTTAGCATGCGTGCTCCCATCTCAGTTTCCGGCATCTGCTGCTTCACAGCAGCCAGGCGCTGCAGCACGCCCAAGGCATCGTCACGTAGTCCCTGAAGAAGTCGCTGATTCTGCTTGGAGGGGGGAGTTTCCGACACTGGCTGAGCCTGTGATCCGGGAGAGGCAGTCGGAAGGTCCACATCGACAGAGGCAACAATGGTGGCTGGCGATGCGTCGGATGGATGTGGGCTCGCTGATGGGCTCGCTGCTGCTTGCTTGGGAGAGGGAGAAAGCTTCTCCGCTGGGCCAAGTTCGAGACCAGCACGGGCTTCGTTGCAATCATTGCATTCTGTCGCCGTGCAGGGCCCTTCAGTGTCCCCACACTCATCACACTCATCCGGGGCACTTTCATGTACTTTCGCTTCGGCAGCTGCCACGTCAGCAGCCCTTCTACGCAAAGGCTTCGAGCTGCTCGCACGAACATCGCCCGGGTCAGAACGCGAAGCTGGCAAAGGGGCCAAGGAACTTTGTTCGGTGCTGACATCTGCGTCGCGGCAGCCAAGAACACCTGATGCGTCCATTTCTGGTAAGGCTGCCTCTCGTTCTTTGCTCTTCCTCGGCAGCAGAACGAGATTCAACATCGCATGTTTTTACATGCTACTGGTAGACTGATAGATGTGGACTGCGCGCTTGTTTTCTTCTACGTCTTCACTATCGTTCTGCAGGTCCAAGGCGAGTCCGCCGGAAGATGAAATGATTTGCCTTCAGTCTTCAGCGTACTCGGGTTTCTGTTTGCTGCGTGTTCCCTATCATTCGGCAGACCAAAAACTGCCCAAGAACCCATGTCCATCCCTTACTACTCTCCAGTTTCTTAGCCTTCCAGCATCTAGGACTGCCATCCTCGCCTACAGCACGTAGCCTGAGGCCGAACCATGTTTTAATGCCTGCCCCGTGTGCCGAGTGTCCTGAGAGCAGCCAGCTGCTTCTCCAGGCTGGCGCAGCTCCTCGGCAAGTGGCGAGGTCACATGGATGGCAATTCGCAAGGGTTTAGGGTTTAGGGTTTAGGGTTTAGGGTTTAGGGTTTAGGGGGCAGGCCTAGACGTGAGAAACAAACCAGATTGCATGCATGCACATTGTTGATTCTCGCTTGCCACTTGACTGTGTCACACTGCAGCCTTGCATATGCAAGCTGAGATTCTGGAGTAGAGCGACAAACTGGCGCGCGTCAAACTCCAACTGTCTTCGCAGTTCTGCATTATCTGGTGAAAGTTTGGCTACCTTGGATTCGGAGGATGCACATGGGAAGTTGGCAAATGCCTGATGCAGTACCCAGCACTGCTGATAGTTCAAAAGTTGGAGTGCAGGTTGCTGTAGCTGCTGCACTTGTGACGATGCCTGTTCCACAAAGCCCAACCCACGGCTGTAAAGAAGGGCACTGGGCAAGTGGGAAGCAGTGCCAGCAGACACTTACAATACATTCCCATCCAAAAGTGACTGTGTGCTGCTCCTGTAGTGGAATGTACAGACCGGAAGGCCAGGCGGAAGTGGTTACAGAAGGTCACAGTACAGAACGCAACGACATCATCTCCGATCGATCTCTAATTGCAGGTGAGCCACCTGTTCGGTTGCCTCTTTCTTGTGCGTCTGGACAGAAGCGAGCTGATCCGTTGTTGCGCACACCCGAGATGGACTCCTTAGACAGGTTGGTTGCCAATGGGGTGAATCTGTGTCTGTCGTGTGTTGGCAGATCGTACAAATCAATCTGACGCCATCTGCAGTCTGAAGATCGCATGCGCGCCTACTGCAGTTTTCAAGGTCCTGTGACACAGGGGATGAGGCTTCCTCGCCAACTCTAAGACCTTGGAGCCACGGTTCGCTTGGATGTCGCCCCTCCTTTGGAGGTCCATCTCCCGGATCTCCTGCAGCAGCGCTTTTATGCCATTCTGATCTCAGATTGTGGTCGAGAGGGTGCTGGCACCCTCCAGGACAGAAGCCTCAACGTATGTGTCTGATGCTTCAATGGCACCAATCAAGTCTAAACATGTCTAAACTCTCCCAAAACCCCCCTTCCACACCTCCACCCGCAGCAAACCTCGCCTCCAGGTAGCGCTGGAAGGCCTTTGGGAAGGCCCTTGTCAAGGTCCGCAGCTCCTTGCAAAGCCGGGTTAAGCCGTTGAACTCACTTGATGTGGAGGGTTCGTGCTTTTTGTGTTGGCAGACACCTTAGATTCGGAGGCGCCAAGGTGTCGGCCTTCAAATGGCCTTAAAACTCCTGGTAGCTTTGCCTCAGCATTCTGACAGAATGAGCGTCCCAAAAAATAGGAAAGCACTGGGCCGTGGATCCTCCCAGGACTTCCACTCCACTGCGGTCCGCATCAGCTGTAGAGCTTGCGACGACCTGGCGGCAAGTCCAGAGGTGGGAGAGAGAGGGGATGCAATGAATGCAAGGCTCCACATCCTGCCCGTGGCCTCATGACCTTTGATGCTTGTCATGCGCAAAGGCCAACACCAAATGGGGGTTTACGAACATAAGGCAGCCCCACTATAAACCCCCAAATAGTAGGATCCCCTTATATAATAAGGACCCAATATGCCCCTAATATCGTAGCCCCCCCAAATCCCTCATCACTAACCCTAAACCCTAAACCCTAAACCCTAAACCCAAAACCAAACCCGGCCATGCCCAGCCTTTCTTGCAGCTGTCTTGCACGACTCTCTTCAAGCTGCTGGCTGAGGCTGGCCAAGGAGCTGGGACCCGCCATGACAGCGGCTGGAATCTTCAAGCATTAAGAGCCCTTGTCTTGAGTTTTGACACGTGTAGCATCATGTAGCACAAACATCTTCCACCTGCGTGGCCTGCATTGCCGTAGCTGCTCTCTCTGAAACAGTGGTGGATGAAGAAACGAAAGCCTATTTGAGCCGCACAGGGCACGTGAGCATGGCCCTAACAAATCAAAGCTGCCAACAGAACGATGTGAGTACAGCTCTACTAAGAAAAGACTCCCTGCTAGCTCCCACAGTGCCCAAGTTCCAGCATCGGTCACGGTTTCACCCTCGGTTTGCCATCATGGCAGTGTACGTATGTTGTGCTGCTATCTTTGTTGTAGTCGTAGGCCGGTGGCACCCACCTTTGGGGAAAGCTGTGCAGCTTCGCCGCTTGACTTGCCGTTTTCGCCATGCTGTACTTGTTCTTCTCGGCGATGATGGCAACTGGTGTGCAGCAGCACATTAAACCGCTTGGCTGATGGCTTCAGCAGCTTCGATTTTGATTTTTGTTTCGGTCATCTTTCCGTAAGATGCACCGCAAGTTGCTCCCCCTGCGGTCGGGATGCTGGTGAACATGTCCGAAGCTCGCTCAACAGCAAGACCTTCGGCCTTCAAAACTTGGTGCGGCCGCAGTCTCACTGTCATGCGAAGGACATTCTGGACGCTCGCTACCCACATGGGGCATGTTGGTGATGCCCGGAAACAAGGCCAAGGGTGGTGCTCGTGGAAGTGTTGCTAACATCCTATAAGATACTATGTACTGTAATGAATTGCTTAGATCTTTCTTGTCTGAACCAAGCCTCCCGGAACCCTTAGACAGAGCAGCTCTTGTTAGCCCCGAAGTGGCATGCATACGGATCACATCAGCTTGAAGGCCGTGTTGTGTACAAGAAGCTCATGGCAGTTCTGCTTGCTTGGGTTCGTCGAACTTGCCGAATGGCAGGTTCAAGTTTGCTTGGAGCAACGTGAGCATGTCCTGGCTAGTACTGTAGCCAGTTTCTGTCTTCGCTAATCCGGCTCAGCTGGATGTGCTGCAACTGATGGAGTAGATTGAGCGTGGTAGTTGCAGACCTTCGAGCCAATCATGTTTGCAAATTCGACTTGGCAGAATGTGCTGAAGCATGCCAGGAAGCCTCGTGGAGGCACGCCCAATGGCCGTAGCCACAGAAGTGGCATCTGGCTCAACATCGCTTGACCTGTGCGGATGCAAACTGCATCAAAGGCAGCTGTTCAACATTTGTGGGCTCAGGACACGGCTGAGCGGATGCTAGGATGAGCATGGCGTGCTTCCAGCTGCCACAAGCATCTACTCCTTTGACAGGCAGCGTCGAAGTATCAGCGCTTGCAGGCACGATTCTAAGCACCAACGCATGCTGGCTGCACGGAGTAGCACTGACATGGCCAAAAAACAACTGTTGCGGCATCTTCGACAGGTCAAATGACGGCAGGACAGATGCGCTCCCCCACCTCGCCTCCCCACATCCGACACCCCCCGCACTTCCGCAGAAAACTCACAAAAGGGCGCTGCAAGCTTCACGCGCCTGCGTGCCACGCCCCTTGGTGCAAGCAAAGGCCAATCAGCTGCCCAAATCTCAGCACCTTCAGACTGGAAGCCTCAGCACATGGAGAGGGTTCGTGAAGAGCACAAGCAAAACAAAATCGGGGAAGAAAAGAGAAGAACTCACACGAAACCATCTTGTCACATCCAAAGGAGCCCAAGGCTGGCCATCTCTGGCCACCGCAAGTGCATGGGTGAGATGCAAGGGCTCCAAGCGGAGCATCTGATTGCGGAGGGAGACCAAGAGCCCATAGGCTTGAAGCACCTGCGCAAAGGCTTGGCTTTCGATAACATGCTCGGCGCACAAGTGCAACCTCACAACAACTATACCCATACTGGCCCATACTGACCTGGCATGACATGGCAGTGATAAGACTCAGCTTGCGCAGCTTTGTACACTAAACCCTAAATCCAGGTGGACCTTGCCCGTACCGGCCAGGGCAGCCAAAGCCGCTGCGAAAGCTTCGGCCGGTGGCTGGGCCGCGGCACTGGAGCGGGCGAGTTTTGGGGAGACGACCCTGGGTTTAGGGTTTAGGGATGCAGGAACACCGATTCGTTCGAGTTTTTTTTTTGTTTTCTCTCCGGGGGGGAGGGGGGGGCAGAATGAGAACGCGACACTGAGCAGCAGGCCACATTACAACAAGATCCGTGGTTTTAAGTGACCTGGCGGAAATTTGTGAGATTTTTCCGGCCGCATTTCTCAGCACCGTTTGCATCGATAATTTGATCTCCTCAGTTGGGTGAACCTTTTGCGCCGTCCGACATGTCGGCAAGGCAGCAAGCCGGTGACCAAACCCAAGCAAGACAGGATCTTGCGCCGTTTGCTGTGCTTGCAAATCCAACTTAATCTCTTCATGGGGTGGACGAGGGCGCTCGCGGCGAGTGTATGACCGAAACCGTGAGTTAAGGTTTATGGCTTGACTAAGCCCGAAACCCCAAACCTTAATCAAACAACCCTAAGTCCGAAACCTAAACAGCAAGGAAGCAAGATAGAACCCTAAACCAAATTCCAAATGTCTCGGGCTTACAGTAAACTCCAGAAAGTTGGAACATAGTTTTTTGGATGATTCGTGCTGGGATTCCTTTTAGTAACCCTTTTGGGGTATGGGGATAAGGATGTTCCAACTTTCTGGAGTTCACTGTAGGATTTCAGGGTTGTCTTTCTCTTTCTCTTACTTGCCGTCTTTCTTTCAAGTGACCCCCTCTTTCCAAAAACCAAGGCCAAAAACAAAAAATATGAAAACTATGGCGCCCATTCTCAACTGTAGCTCTCACCCTCACCCCCTCCCTCCACCCCCTCACTATTCCCTCTTCCTCGACCCCTAAAATGTCCAACTGCCTGGGGGCGGGGCCTACACTTTGTCACGACTCAGCACAGAACATGTCGGAGGGCTTATTCTAAAAATTCTATGTCTATAACCCTAAACCCTAAACCCTAAAACCCGAAATGTTCTGACATTGACGTGCGCCCGAAGCCTCAACCAGGCCACGGCAAGCTTCCACTTCGCTGCTTCCGCGCAAAGGTCCAGGGCCAAGGCCCTTGCAGCATTGGCGAGTGGTTTTGTTGGCCTCGGCAAAGCTTGGGGAATGTTTGGGACAAGGCTTCATGGTGTTGGGGCTTCGGAAAGTCGGGTGGGTTAGGGAAGCCATCAGCTCTCACGGTCTTGACGTGCCAGAGGTTTCGGGGCTGGATCCGAAGGAGTCGCATCGTAATGCGTGCAAAAGTCTGCAGTTCGGCCAGCAGCTGCAAGCCACGCTGCCAACGGTGCTGGCTAACCACGCCTCAAGACTGCTGAGCTTCAGTACGTGCCTGCAATGCGGTGGCGACTGTCCCGCTGGAATGATAAGAATGCGCCGCGTATCCCGACTTGCCTGAAAAGACGCTTGCTGGGGTTAGCTCGTCGGCTTGTAGGCGGCGTGGCCACAAAGCCCGAATGATTTCGCATGAGGCTTCCCAGTCACCTCGGCTTGTGAGTATCAGGTGTCTGACCTGCACGGTTGGACGCTTAAGCGCTTGCAGGTTTCAGCGGCATCCATGGTGCGTGCAAGCTACCCTTCTTGGCCGCACCACCAGCCGCCATGTTGTGAATGTGCGTGTCCAGCAAAATAGCTGCCGCACGTGCCGCATCCAGGACCTGTCTAAAGGAGAACACCTGCGTTTGCAAACTCCAAAGACTTGTTGATCTGTTTCTTTTCAACTTTCAACCAGGCAAGCGAAGTCGGGCAAGCAAAGCCAGGACCTGTATGGAGGCTGACCAACAATGCGAGGAGCTGCAGGCAGACGTCAGCAGTCCCCGGGTGACCAGATTTGCCTGATCGGGTTCGTCTCGCGCTAAAGGCTCGCTCGTCAGGTTCCCATGAGAGCTGTGTTGTGGTACGCGTGGCATGAAACCTTCCGTCCCTGGTGATAATTGTCTGCACTCACAAAACGTGATGAAGTACCTGTCCTATTTCAACAGGAGGCTCGGAAAGAAGAGCGCTCCAGAGAAGACTCGGGCCTAGGACGCCTTTTGCGGAAAATTGAGGCGCTAAGGCTCCGAGACATCAGCCCAGGCTTATGCACTCAACTCAAGCCGACCTGCAGAATCAGAAGAGAGGGACTGTGGAGTGGTGGAGATGTGCTTTTCGGCTAACGCGGGTTGCTGCAGCCGACTGTGCGTGTTCCGCACATGTGCGGAAGCCCTGGCCTGCAGGTACTGCTCCTCAGTGAGCTGTAGCAGGTGTGAGGCTTCCTCAGGCGTTGTACGCATGGGGATTCAGATCTCAGCAGATGACTTCTCAGAAAGCTTGGCAGGGCACCTGCCAGCTGTGAGCGTCCCGAAGAGGCCTCACCAGCATTCCTGTGGCCATGGTGTTCAGGCTCAGGCCATGCCACTGGCAGGCCTGGGAGATGGACCTGCAGCGATGCACTTACAAGAATGATGTAGCAAAGCCAACAAACTTGTGGAGCAATATTTGGAGCGCGCTGCGAGTCTGGGTGCGGGACAAGGCCAGGCTCCAGCTGCGCTCTGAAGCCGAAGCCCACATGCAAGCATCTTGGCGGATGGAGCGGTGCTCAAAGATGCTCAGCACACGAAGTGATCCTGTCAGGGTACATGTCCAGCCTGGCTTAGACTGTTGAATGTCTAAGTTGCAGTCACACAAGGGGCCTGCCTTCCCAATTGCGGACCGTGGCGGTGATCATCTTCCGATGCAGCTGCATAGTATCTCCAGCCAGCCTTCGTCAACACGAAGTCCTAAACCCCGAAACCAATCCTCATCCTAAGCCAGAAAAGACAACAGGCGGCGTCCAAACTGTCCCAGTTGCACGGCAGCCCGTTGCCATGAGACGCTCTCGAGGACTCCTATCCAGCAATGCAAGCGGCAGTGCTGCAGCGAGACGTAAGACCAGTCCTATTGCAGTGCGCTGATTGTTGCCATAGCCAGCCTGCCACGGATCCTTTGACGATCGTATTCATCTCAAGGGTCTTGCAATGCATGCTCTGAAGCAGGTCGACCGCATGCTGCCAGAAGCGAAGGGTCTCCAGGCCGGCAGCAAGAGCACCATAACCTTGTAAACGTGGCCGAATAGTAGCAGTCTAGACGATGAAGGCCGTGGTGGGGTCCCACACAGAGAATGCAGGACCCAATGCAGTACTTGCATTCAAGCATGATTTGACTGAATGACTTCGATTGGGCGGAGTTTGGTTGCTCCGTTTTTCGAAGTTGGGACCGGAATCTTCTCTCATGAAGGATAACCTGTACCTCCTCCATGTCCCTGCAAGTCTATGTCCTCCGTATGTTCGCAGGACACATCCTCTTCTCATGCTTGTGGAGATGAGGATAAGAAAGCCTTTGTTTGCTTCGATGTTCTCGGCGGCAAGTTTGCATGGCATATAACAGTGGTTGGCGGCACCGTCACAATGCTCGCATGATGGGCTGGAAAAGCATGCGGTCACACGGGTTGGCATGTTCCTCCTTATAGTAACAGTCCATATAATAGGGAGTACACTAAACCTTATTAAGGACTTTTAGTATGTCAGTATAAAGGGGAACATCCCAACATGTCAACTGATGGCAGGACATTCGGTGAAGCAAGTTTGCACGGCTCTTAAAAGAGCAAGGCCCACCACCCCCACCCCCCCCCCCCCCCTCAAAAAAAAACTCGTATGACGGATTTGACTAGTCAATGATTTATGATTTATGTGGGTTCTGATGGCAGGCAGGCAGTCTCTGAACGTTTGTTCACAAACAAACGCGCTGGAGCGGCCCCCCCCCCCACCCCCCTCCACCCCCTTCGGAAATGAGGAAAATGGCCTTTTATGGGTTTTCATTGAATCAAGTTTGCACAGCTTGCATAAAGAGTGCAGCCCGCCCCATCCCCCGCGTTTTGGGAGCTGCCCTTCCTCTCCTGTCGCAGTTGTCTGTATGCTTTCACACACCTCGGAGGGCATCTGCAAACACAATGCTCGTATGAGTTGCCTTTCAGGGGACTCATATGATACGGCACGCCATTCCATGGCTTAAAAGAGCAGGGTGGGCGTGTGGGCGGTAAACCCAATGTTTGTATGAGTTTGTATGATGGGTTTAGAAATGATTTGATATGGTTGTTGAAGGAATGTCCTTTGGGCACGGTATTCTTGAAAGCAAGTTTGCATGGCTCTCGCAGACCGGAGGAACACAGTACCAACAGCGGCGCCCCCCGCCCCCACCCCCCACACAAAAAGGGAGCGAACAATGCAGTGGAAAAAGATGCGTTCCATTTAAATTGAGTAGCTCTTCACAGTGCAAACGAGCCTTGCCCCTGTCATCGTCTGTAGCAAGCTGCGTGAGAGCTGCCAAAATTTCCCCGAGCTCGCGTGGATCAGGGTGTTGAATGTAACAGCCTCAGCAGGACACAACATCTGCTGTGCTGCAAGGACCTGCAAAGACCACCAAGGACTATTACAACGAAATGCATATCTCCCTCAAGGCGAATCTCAGGCGCATCTGGGGTTGCATCGCACTTGCGGACCTGGTTCAAGGCATTGGCCCATAGCCCGCCATCGCCTCAATCTTTTGCAGTGGGCTTGACGTGAAGGAGCGCGACTGCGGCGAAAGACATGGTGGGCAATCCGGCATTTGCGCGACGCTACTGGTGCGGTATGCTTGTGTTCAAAACTCATCAGACCAATGATGCTCGGGCGCTCAAGGTGTCTAGGAGACTGTTGAAGTGTACCTTGGCCGTCTTGGTAAACTGTATGGCGTGTGCATCTGCCAAGGTACACAGAACAGCCGAGATTAGCATGGATTTGCCAGCCCTGTCCGAAATAGGCTCCTGTTCATCCGCGATGCGATGTTCAGGATGCCACCGCTTTGGCCCAGCTGTCTCAGGAGAGCTTCGGCAGCTCGCCAGCTTGAAAGTCCATGCGCTGCAAGTGATGAGCAAATGGCCGCCTTGAGTGTCTGGAGGGGCCAGAGTCTCCTGCCGGCCAGCTGCGCATTGTCAGCTTTCAGAAGGCCCAAGGTGAATCCACTGCGCAGTGACGGGTTCAGAAGCTATGTCTGGCATGAAAACGCAGAACCTGCCGATTCCGTCAGACCCGTAACCCATTGTTCGCGGCCTGGCGCTGTGGAGCAGCAAAACTGCTCGCTGCCAGCCTGTGCCGGCAGCTTTGCCTTCACAACGCCGTCACAATCTAGAACAGCCAGTAGTTGGAGACATTCTGTCCGAGCTATGCCAGTTGCCTGCAAAGAAAACTTGAAAGGCCCCCGGACGAAAAAGCGGGCTTCAAGAACCCAAAAGCTTGGCCCAGCCAGCTCCATGCGAAACCCCGACAGGGACCACCAACACTGCACAACCAGAGGCTAAGTCCGTGCAGGTTTCTCTTCTTGGGTAGGGCCGCTACTTGCAGCAGGGTGAAGGCTTCGGGTTTACAATCGTGAAGTCAGGTTTGAAGTTTGGAGGTCTTAGGGTCTCAGTTTCTTTGTGGCCTCGGGAAAACGTCTCATGCCTTGTTACAAACACACCTGACAAGCAATGTCCACAATAGCGGGTGACCTCAGCAAACCCTTTTGCAAGCAGGACTGCGCTGCTGCCGGAACAAACCCTAAAACCCTTTGCCCTTTTTAACCCAGGCTCCGGCCCCCTAAACCCTAAACCCTGAAACCCTTTGCCCTAAACCCCTAAACCCCTGTATGTGTGCCGCCTCCACCTGCTACCACGGCCTACTACTACCACCTGCTACCTAATCCGCCGAGGCCTCGGGCCGGAGGTGTAGGGGCGGGGGTGGGGGGGGGGGGGTGGGGGGGGGGGGGGGGTGGGGGGGCGGGGGGGGGGGGGTGGGGGGGGGGTCGCAGCAGGCGGTGGGGGGGGGGGGGGGTGGGGGACCTGGGAACAGGCGCCTGCTGGGAGGGGCTTCAACTGCCTCTGGTCCTGGCGAACCGTCCGCTTGCGGACCCCCCCCCCCTCCACCCTCACTGGTTTTGAGTCTGAGCTTAAACCCTGACAACCGCCCCCTCCCCCCCCCCCCTTCCCCCCCCCACTCCCCCTACCCCCCTGAGGGGCCTGGCTCAACCTACGATCAATCCAAGCCGAACCGTCTTGAACCCTACTCCCAAAAAAACCCTAAACCCCAAAGCGTGAACCTTGAGCCCTAAGCCCTCAATCCTAAACTAAACCATAAACCATAAACCATAAACCATAAACCATAAACCATAAACCCGGAACCCTAAACCCTAAACCCTAAACCCTAAACCCTAAACCCTAAACCCAACCCTTATTGCTTGGGGTCCAGCACCTTGGGCGCTGCGGAATCACCATGCTCACGCGGATGCGCTGGGCCGGGCCGAGGCGGGTCGCGTAGCGTTAAAATTACTACCCAATGCCGAAGACCGACTGCTGCGATCGGACACTGCCACCTACCACTTCAGCCACGATGACGACGACAACGCCTACTTCCTCTTCCACTGCCTGATTTCCCAAAACGAACAGCCCTAAACCCTAAACCCCAAACCCTAAACCCTAACCCCTAAACCCTAAAGGAGCTTTCCGTATCAAGAGGCAGCAGGCCACGGCAGCTCCGCTCGAGGCCGGCTGCGGTGGAAGTCCCCGGCTGCACAGCTCGGATAGTACCTCTGAGACCCTTGGGAGTTTAGGGTTTAGGGTTTATGGTTTAGGGTCATTGTAGGTCCCTATTGATTCGGGAGATTCGTACCTGCTTCGCATGTGCTCATGTAAATTGGGTCTCAACTCGCACTCGATCTTCGAAAAAACGTCCACTTACTTGCAGTCCAAGCAGAAGGGCGTGAGCCAAGTGGCCACGTGGGACCATTGCCACTGAACTGCACGGCTGAGCGCGGAGGCCACCGCATTGAAGCTGACAGTATTCGGCTGCAGCCTGCACTAAAAGAACTTCACTCGGACTCAGCACGTCTTGCTCCGAACCTCCGTGCAGGGCTGCAGGCCTCGAGCAGCGAATCTCTTGGAGGAGGCTAAGGATTTCCTGCCAGTGCTGTGGTGCAAGATGTCCCGCCCGTGAGGTGAACCACGCCAATCCTTTCGCCTGCTGCGCGACAGTGCGGCACTCCCTCACACTCCCTCACACTTATAACAGGGAGGCATGAGGCGCCAGGGCAAATTGGTACCAGGAGAACGGCAACACACAAGAAAAGCTTGCAAGCAAGCCTTGTCATCTGCATGGGAGGGTCGGCTGCCACTGACTTCTGCCCGACACTTTGGGCTCCAGTACACGGCGACGGGCATGCGCTTCTTAAAGGCAAACTATTACAGCCACAAAGATACGAGGTTTGAGCCAGAAGCCCACAAAGCCCGTGTCGTGATGTCTCTTGCGTAGAGAGATGCAGACAGCAAGCAAGCTGCTTTCAGGGCTGACCATCTTCAGTGGTCCAAGTGCACCAAGACGACTCACGGCACGAAACGCTGGTTTGGTCTGCGCATGATGGGCGCTGATGCTACTTGAAGCTCAAATAGCTTAACCGGGCTTATGCTTTGCCTGAAAGGCCCCAATGGAGCTCATATACGCCAAAGTAGATGGCCAGCATGAGACCTGGTGCAGGTGCTCTTCAGAAACAGCACATACCCTGCACTCGCATTCCATAGGATCTAGTAAGATGCCCTTCCTAGTTGTTTCCAGCACATCCTCTTGGTGATGGTAACCACAGTTTCCCCTGTGCTGGGTAACGGATGTGCGGGCCTGCGTCCACACCATCCCGGCTGCCGCTCACCCTCATGCAGATGCAACCCACAGCCTCCAATGAAAGATGAACATTCGAAAGCACGCGCTCCACTGCTGCCGCGAGTACGGCTGCCAAAGTTCCTAAGTTTGATACCTCCACCACTCCCACCTGACAGCAGCACACAAACGAGCCCTTTTTGTTTGGTGGCTGGCAAAGGGCTTCCTCTGCTGGTTCTGGGCGAATTGGGGGCTGGCAAGCATTTACCTCAGCCAGCTGCGGGGTCTGATACAAACCACCGGAGAGTCCTACCAGAATGCACGGAGCAACTCGGAGTGCTTCGGTTTAGGGTTTAGGGTTTAGGGTTTAGGGTTTAGGGTTTAGAGGGCAGTGCATGTTCCGGGTACTGCTGGCATCTGACACTGGTGTTTCTTTCAGCTGCTGGGTAACACTTGCCAGCAAACTGCTGAGCTTCTGATCGTCGCGAAAAAGCCTGCAGAGGCCTTGTGGCCCATGATCCTCAAAGTGGCCCCTCAGGCATCTTCACACCAACCTCGGCTCGAAATGCTCCAAAGTCCCGTCTCTTCCTTGCCCCATGAGCCCGACACTATGCACCATTGCTTTTGTGTTCGGAGGCTGCGGCGGTTCTCCTCTCGAACCTGCGCCTCCTGTTGCAGGCAGCGTACGTCTGCGAGTTGCTAGGGCAAGTTGTTCGTTCTGCGTCTATAGCACCAGGGTTTGGGTCTGGCGGAGGCCAGACAGCTTCCATGTGGGCCTCCTCTGGTGTGAAGTCGTTCACGATGTTGAACTGCTTGCGAATTTCCTTCCGGCACACAACGCTTGCCCCTTCAGCAAGGAAGACCTGCGCACCCACAGCCGAACCTCGGTGTTCTTGCCCTTGATCATGGATGCGACCTTCGGCTCAATTGAACAAAATGGGTTTTGCAACTCATCAGTAGTCTACAGTACGCTACCATGGAGCAGCATGTCAGAGGGCTGCCTTCGCGCAGGTCAGGTCGAGGAGGCTCTTGATATCCAGGTAGTTCGCTGCAAGGATCAGCTCGAACAGCACCTCTCCGACATGGGATTCGCAAGCGGCTGCTAATCTGCGCGTGTTGTGGCTGTGACATCCCACTTGCCGACGATAGAGTCAGTCTTCGGCGCCTCCTGCTCAATGTTGACATACTCGTTGTCCCACTCCGACACACCGCACCTCAACCGCAGCAATCAGGGCTAGCGGCTATATGCCTGCTTATGTCTGGTGCTTGCATGCCAGCGACTGGGACCAGCGAAAAAACCTCTCAAAAGCCTTTCAGTGTCCGAGCCGCTCGACCAAATTGGTGCTCTTAAGAGGCTTCTGGATATCCTCAGGGGGGTTGTCCTGCAGTCAGGCGCAGCTGCTGTGGGTTGAATTTTCCTGATGCTTAGTTGTCAATTGCATTCCGAACCTTGTGGTACTTGCAGTAGTCAATGACCTGCCAAGGGGTCCGAAGACCGTGCCACGCGGTAACTTGACTCCAAAACGTCGTTGATGGAAGTTGGTTCTGGCAACCATGGCGTGCCTTGGACAAGATAGCCGTCTTCACCTGGCCAGTGCTATAGATGACATAGATGACACCAGATCCAGCGCAAGAGGTTCAAATACTCCGTTTCCTTATGCCGCCTAGATGCGTTGGGCAGTGGGATCTCCTCGTCAGTCCCACTGTCTTCCACCATGTTCTTCACCAAGGTTGACATGCATGCCACCTTCAGCATGCGCATTTTTTGGCCGGTGCCAAGGTTTGTGACAGCTGGCTGAAGAAACTTGTTGAGTAAGCTTTGGGTCAAAGCTTTCCTCAGCCGTGGCAGCAAATTTTTTGGGAGGTGGGTAATGCAACAAGTCAGGCTTCCTAACTCTGCTCAGGACCTTCTACAAGCCAAGAGCCTTTCAATAGCAGTGAATCGTACATAACCTTCATAATGAGGTACGAAGTGTGTATGGGCCGCCGTCACGCCACAGACGAAACATGTCAATGTCGGCCAGCTTTTTCGTCGGAATTGGCGTTGCGAGGTTCAGTATAACTCCAGCGAACCCCAACATGGTAGATTTTGAATCCATGGAAGTTTCCTGTTTCCAGGGCATCCTTGGCAGCCTGCCCTGCCCGAATCGAGCTGCCAAGATAAAACTCACCCAAACCTTCCTAAGCCCTCGAAGCTCCGAACCTCCAAGACAACCTCAAGCTACCCAGGGGGAAACCCTTCTTCTCTGGGTAGCGAAGAAAGGCCCTTTTCGGACGATGGCGTTCAGCCCCCAGCCCCCATCATGGAGCCCACCAGTGCCCTGACTTCCCGGCACCCCCCGTGCGGATTGACAAGACGGAGAGGCCCAATGTTTTCCTCGTGCGTTACAATGTTGGTTTCAGGGTTGCAACCTCTCAGTTTCAATACATGATCCAGATGACAATGCAGAAGTTTCCAAGCATGATCTTCTTTGTGATAATTCTTAGCAATGGCTAACATACTAAGAATGTGACTTGAAGGGTAAGGAATTTCCCTGTAGGCAAGGCCTGCATGGGGAGCAACAGAGGATGGGAACCAGACGAAGCAGCTGCGCCCCGCCCCCGCAGCTGGTAAGGCTAAGTACACGTTGCTAAAACGTACGTGCTCAGAGGGGCAGCACAGGTGTGGCAGACTGGGTGAGGCGTGCGTGACCCGCCCAATGCATTTCGCGACGAAGTGGTCTCGCAGAAAGTCCCACTGCGGAGTGCGTGCTCGGACCTTAAGCGATAAAAAATGGAGGCTGCCAAACGCGCGACATCAAAGTTCAAGATTCGCCGGCCACGTGCCAATGCATGGAACCGTCAAGAGTTGAGAGACCCCCTCAACCAAATATACCTATACCACCCTATACCATCCTACTCTAAGTTGGAAGTCTTCTGGCACCTCGGGCTCGACTTCAAAGATCTCACCCTGCGAGGACTTGAGCTGAACCTTGTCGCCTTCCTTGGGGTCGCAGACGGTTAAGGCTTTGCAATAAAGGCAGACAAACCCGGACGCCCAGCCCTGTATCTCTCACGTTGGGGCGAACCTATCTGGAAAAGTTCGCGGGAGACCACGGCTGTACTCCAACCCCCAAACTTCAATTCATAGTTGCGGTCTAGGAGTCTAGGACACTTCTAACAAACTCGCCAAAACATTCCAGTGACTTTCCCGCATCATCAACCCTGCACCCAAAGACCAGCAAAAGCTTAGCAGGAAGCTACCGACTCATGACGCGGTGTGATGAAGGTCGTTGTGTAGCATGTGGCCATGGGCGTAGGATCTGGGGCACATGGGTCCGATTTCAGCGAATCTCAATTCAGCCAGGCAGCAGGCATGCTGCGCCAAGGGGCCGAAACCAAAACTACGACGACTCAACACAAAGCGCAGGGGGCTTGTGCCAAAATTTGCCGCCGAGGATTTGGGCACGGCTTCGGCAACAGTCTCAACTACAAGACTTGAGCAAGGCTTGAGCACGATAACCGACCCTGGCCCCTAAGCCCTAAGCCCTAAGCCCTAAACCCTAGACCCTAAACCCTAAACCCTAAACCCTAAGCCCTAAGCCCTAAACCCTAAACCCTAAGCCCTAAAGGTTGAGGGCCTGCCAATGCGTCGCAACTGGGACACTCCGAAAATTCAAGTCGCGGCTGAAGGTGATGAAGCGAAGAACCATCAGATGACACCGTACAATGTACTATAAATAACTAGATTTAATATGATTACTATAAATACATATAACTAATATGATAAAAGAGAGTGTAATGTATCATAACATTAAAAGTAAGAGAGTATCGTCTGGTCGAAGACAATATAAGTGTGATTTAGCATAGACTAATTTTGCATAAACATGACGAAAAATAGTATTATGTGTCATATAAATGTGTGATAAAATGAAAAATAATGTAATATAGTACTAAGCCCTGAACCCTAAACCCATATAATGCAATATAGTATAAGGTAGCATGGCACCCGGCCTCGCTAAATGGAGCGTTGGCTGGGTTGAAAGCTTCCACCTCGCCCAAAACCTCCTGTGGTCACAAGCACACCAGCAGTTGAGCAGGCTGAAGTTGAGGGTTTAGGGTTTAGGGTTTAGGGCTAGGGTTTAGGGTTTCCTGTAGATTCACCTTGAAGTTGAGATGATCTTCAAGTAAGTGTTGCTCCCAAATTCATCGTTCCTGACTGGAGGTTATGGGAAGTGAACGCAGCTGTCCTGCATTTCGTCTGTCAGAAGAAGGGCAAAATCTTCATACACGCCATCGCAGTAGATGCGAGTCTGTGCACAGGGGGCGATGCTGGAAGCACTTGGTCTCTTCTTACTTCTCCAATAACCAAGGGGGCCAAAAAGTTAAACTTTATTTTTCCTACAAAATAAGGAAACCCAAAAAGTTTAAAGTTCAACTATTGGCTAAGTTACGTCTTGCTGAAGAAGGAAACATGTTTGTCTGGCAATTTATAAAGTTTCTCGTGAGCACCGGAGGCCTCTCCGTGCTCTCCGCTTCGCAAGCAATATCGCGAGCGCCTCACGGAAGAGCCCTAAACCCTAAACCCTAAACCCTAAACCCTAAACCCTAAACCCTAGACCCTAGACCCTAAACCCTAAACCCTAAACCCTGAGCTGTGGGCCTTGGCCTTCCTTGCTTCTTGAGCTCTGGGGAGGTGGGTGGAAGTTGTAGTACTTAGCTTGGGATGTTCCCCCCTTTTTTCTAACAGTCCTTCATAGGGATTATCGGTACCCAAGAGTTGGCCGTCTAACTAAGTGCCGAAAAGGGGGGTTGTAACCTTGCAGGATTGTAACGGAGGCTTCGTGTTGCACATGTTTTCAAGAGCCCGGCAGATGTGCTCAGCCGCCTGTCTGGATCACGCCCAAGACGACCAAAGAATCGGCCATCTCCGTCAACGATGTCCATCTCCATGCCTCAGTTGCAGTAGCATCTGCCAAGGGCTTCTAAATCATGAACCTTGAACCCTAAACCTTGGGCGGCTGTGAGCGAAGCAGTCAGCGAACCCCAGAGTCTCACTTGGGTGCGGGCCGTCACTTCCTCGGACCAGGTAACCTGAAAGTCGCAAGGAGACGAAACAAGTTTCCTCATACACAGAACAATGTTGGGATTCTTTTGCGCGCTTCTCGACTTTTTTTTTGGGGGGGGGGGGGGTATAGGCTTTAGGCCTCAGGAATAGAACCGTTTTTTGCAACGGTGCCACTCTCTCGTCTCCAGAGCGGTGCTTGGCTGCCGGCCCGTTGAAAGAATTTCTGGCTCCTCATCTGCGGAGACATTGCCAGTCCTGACAGATGCCCTGGTTATTGCCGGTTTGCCGTGTCAAGCGCTTGTCCAGCCCAATGCTGTGCAAAAAAGCCATGGTGCAGCAATTAGCAACATCGGTGGTGCAACTGCTTAAAAGACGTTCCCCATCGTTCGATACTGGATCTGTTCCCTCGCAAAAAACAACAACCGCAAGCTTTGTTTCTGCGGCGCGGCCTGCGCATCTCAGGGGGCAACCTCCAGGAGGACTTGCATGCACCATGCTCTTAGAAGCAACTAGGAAGCCAACTACGAAAGCTACGAAAATCCCGGCGAGAAGTTTCCAAGGTCGCGGCGTGGTAAGGACAACGCTTGCATGCTGATCATTCCTGTGGCAAGTCACCCAAGCAGATAAGGGTTGCTGAATTCCTCCCATCTACTACAGGATTCTGCGGATGGTACACCGCATTGCTTTCATAGACCTTCTGCAGAGTCACATTTTTGCATGCCATTGCTGGAGGCTGCAAAGCTAGGAGGAAGATGACGGCGACAATAACGCAAGCTTGCCATGAGTCTTTTTCAAGGGGGCCGCCAGTGGGAGTTCATGATACGCCACGTGTCTTTGCAAGACCTGTTTTCGGTAAGGGTCTTCACGCGCCATGTGTCTAGTTCACTCAAAAGAGGCTCCTTCCCGACATGTCTTCGGCAGGTGTCTTCTGTCTTCGCTCGGACAAGTCTCTTCGCCGGGAATGTGTATTCCGGTGCCCACGCGTCTGCGCAAACCCCTCGTCGGAGACAGAATCCTAAACCCCTTGTGTGTCTTCAAACCCTAGGCGACCGCAATGCGCATTGATGTCACTTCTCCGCCCTCAGCCAGCCACTCACCAAAGCAGCCTCGAAACCATCAGTGTTGAACCCTCAACCCTCCCGCTCGCTGCTTTCCGAGACTTGCCCGGCTCTACTCGCAACAAGCAAGACAAACTCAAGCGTGGCATTCTGGAATGTGCTCTGCAGTCTGGGCGACCATCCCACCTCCTAAGAAGACCGGTGCAGGAGTGATGCCTTGCCATCGAAGCACTTGCTGGAGGCCAATGGACCGAAGTCCTCAAACTCCAGCTGCCGACCCTCAATCATCTCAATCTTAACAAGTTTTACAAGCTCTAGCCTGAGGGCCAGGCATCGGACTACCAATCGGAGGTGCGCAGTTGTGTCCGCGGTAAACCTGGCAAATGGGTGAATGGGAAGTAAAACGCCCCAGACTGCCTGACTCAGATTGCAGAGATGCAAGCAGCCCTCATTCACCGCCACTCTCCGAACCCACTACGGGCCCCGGCGCCGTGTGTGTTGTGGACATCATGGTGTTATCCCTTTCAAGCCTGAAAGTGCGTGGGCGTTTTCAACACTCCATGAGTGTTTTTTGCTCTGAAGATGCCGGGGACTGCCCTCTGTAGACCCGGAACATCCTTGGCCCTGAGCCCCTGTAAGTGGGGCTCGCTTGCCTCAGCCCTGAGCAGCGGCTGGCCGTCTGTGCCGAAGACGATGACGAAGATGGCAGATCTTTCCTACCAGAACATGTCGTAGCAGCTTAGGGCTTGAGGGTTTGACGCATTGCTCATGCATGTCTTTAGCTGACCACCCCCTCCCCCTGGAGGCTTGTGCTACAGAACACATGGTTTGTGGGTGCAAGGGGCAACGCCCCCTCTACCCCACCACGCAGCTTGTCCAAAACTACGCCCTCGAAAATCCCCAAATGGGTTGAGGCTGTGGGTGGTGGTGGCGGTGGTGATGGTCGCTGTCGTTGCAGTAATCAGCAACATCATGTCCGAGAAGCTCGACGTGGTGGACTGCAACGCCCAGGAAGTGTACAGTTGTTGCGAGGCCGGCAGCTTTGGTGCAAGCATTTTCCCTTTTTTCGGTGCCAAAACAAGTTTGGTGTCTGCTTGAAGTTGCTGGTGTGATGCGTTTGGTAGCGTCAGAAGCTGTTTTGGGTGGTGTGAAAAGCTGTGGTGTCGCAAGTTGATTTGATGTCAAAGGGTGTCACCAGCACCACCTGTTAATAAACACAAGCAACTGGTGACACCAAAAACCCTAAACCCTAAACCCGAAACCCTAAACCCTAAACCCTGTTCGGGGTTTCCCTGAAGATCCTTTTTCAGAATACACCGCAACTTGACACCAAAACAGCTTTTGACTCACCACCGCATTTGACACCAAACCAACTGACGCCAAGCACCACCTTTGACATCAAACCTTGATTTGCGGATGTAGGGTTCAGGGTTTAGGGTGCTTAGGGCTTAGGGCTTAGGTTTACCCTTTAGGGATAAGTCCATCACGCACCCCCATACCCCGGACGGCTTCGGGCCTGAAGTCATAAAAGGGGTGCTTTGTTCTTGGGAGCTTCACCATGCTTAGGGTTTAGGGTTTAGGGTTTGGGGTTTAGGGTTTAGGGTGCACCTTGGTGGGGATCGGGATGACCAGGCAGCACTCGGAGTGCCGAGGGACAATTAGCCTGGGCTCTCGAAGCAGCCGTGCACACGAGTATTCGGCCAGTCTTGTCAGGAGAGCGACTATATGACCATGTAGGTATGTAGACATATATGTATACAAAAAATATATACATATATATATAGTGTATTATATATATATAGATATATACATACATATATCAATGTCCTCCCGTCCCCCCCCCCCCCCCCAACCCCCATCATCAATCGCAATCGTGTACTAAAATAGGAACTGCACCGTGCTCATGGCAGTGACGCAAGAGCTCTGTTCGACTGTGCGAGAGTTTCCCTCGAAGCCCTACCCGGGACTCTTGAACCTTCAGCTTGGTAGGAAATACAGTACCCCTTGACTTGGGTAGAAAAATAACCCACAAAACTGTAGGCAAGTAGAGTCCCAGGCGTGGCATAGATACTGAGAGGCCTGCCCTGGGCAAAGGGTCATTGGCGGAGGCGGATCGGAAGACATCCACACTTGGTCGGCATGGTTGTCAAGAGTCAAGATCCCGTGCTCTCAGTTTTGCGGAGTGCTTTCGCTGGGGGCGCGGCGCCACGGGTCCTGCTTCAAAGTGCCATCACTGGCTAGAGACTGTAAGTTGTCAAGGCAATGTGAAAGAAGGGCCCGCACATGTCTCATGTCTGCCAGGTCAGACAAGGACAAGCTTTGCTGAAACCTTTGCGATCCGTGCACTTCAGCGCGGGTGCATATGCTCTGCTCTATCCACCCTCATCCGCACTTTGCCACATAGCAGAGCTTGCCTCTGTGCGTGCATTTAAGGTCACCGCAATGTTTCGCTGACCTCCTCTGGCAAGATTCACGGCTCTCGGGTCTTGGGCTTTGTAGGCTTCGGGAATTTGATCTACGTCGATCCATCCACACCAGCATCATGAGCATCAGCAGCTAGAGCTTCCCACCGTGAAGCCCAACCACAGCAGCACCGTGGGCATCAACAACTAGAGCTTCCCAGCGAGAGCCCAACCACGCCAGCATCAGGAGCATCAGCTGCCAGAGCTTCTCACCGAGAAGCCCAGCCACGCCAGCATCATGGGCATCAGCTGTTAAAGCTTCCCACCGAGAAGCCCAACCACGCCAGCATCATGGGCATCAGCTGCTAAAGCTTGTTGCCGCTGATAACGCCGACCACACCAGCATCATGGGCATCAGCTGTTAGATCTTCCCACCGAGAGGCCCAACCACGCCAGCATCATGGGCATCAGCTGCTAGGCATCATGGGCATCAGCTGCTACAGCTTCCCACTGATAACGCCGACCACGCCAGCATCATGGGCATCAGCTGTTAGAGCTTTTCACCGAGAAGCCCAACCACACCAGCACATGGGCATCAGCTGCCAGAGCTTCCCACTGATAATGTTGACTTCACATTAGGAATTCCCGCTACAATTATAAAATCCAGCTGCCGGAACACAATAATGTAACCCCCCACAATTATAAAATCCAGCCCGGAATATTTTTTTTACGGGCGTGGTGCTACTACCTAATACTAAAACTAATAGTACGTCCTACCAAGATTTAGGCGAATATAATTGAGGAGGCCCTGGCCGGAGAGATTGATCAATCAAGGCAGGGGGGTTTATTAATGCGAAGTCAACATTAACGCCGACCACGCCAGCATCATGGGCATCAGCTGTTAGAGCTTCCCACCGAGAAGCCCAACCACGCCAGCATCATGGGCATCAGCTGCTACAGCTTCCCACTGATAACGCCGACCACGCCAGCATCATGGGCATCAGCTGCCAGAGCTTCCCACTGATAACGCCGACCACGCCAGCATCATGGGCATCAGCTGTTAGAGCTTCCCACCGAGAAGCCCAACCACGCCAGCATCATGGGCATCAGCTGCTAGAGCTTCCCACTGATAACGCCGACCACGCCAGCATCATGGGCATCAGCTGTTAGGGCGTCCTACAGAGAAGCCCAACCACGTCAGCATCACGAGCATTAGCTGCGCTGCTAGAGTAGCTTTCCCCTTACTCGAAAGCCCTTGTTTTTCAATATGCAGGTCAAGTCTGATGCCACCAGGGTTTCCAGTAATTGAAAGTGATTTGAGGTTCTTGCTCCTTTGTTAAGTCAAAAGGTCATATATTGCAGTGTGTGCAGTGCACCCAGAGTAAATCGTGCAGCATCAGCTCACAAACTGGTTATTGAGAGATCAAACCTGCCTGCGAGCCCATGTGGCATACGCACACTTTGCACCCGTCCAAATATCTCATACAAAATGAGAAGTCTTGCTTTGAGGGCGGGCGCGGGGGGGGGGGGGGGGGTTGTCGCTGTTCGAGTTTTACAGGACATGGGGACCTGCTGGGTGTTCCGGAGTCCGGTTCTTCTTTCGCATAGTACCGGCAAACAAACTGACGAGTGGCGGCCTCGTCGCCAAGGGTGGCGGATGCTTCATCCAAGGCACTCCTCAGGCGGCGCAGCTCGTGGTGAGATCTTTGCAAAAGATTTTGGAAGCCTCTTCTGAGCATGGCTTGGCCCGACACTGAGGTGTGGCACCACCATACCAGGGAGGAAATGCTGTTCCCATAGGAGGCAGGTGAAGACGTCCTTCTGCCTACCACGCGCAAGTCTCGAGCATGTGCTGCAGAACTTGGATGTGCCCGGTTTGATTCCATCTGCCTCCATGTCCGGCGGGTCCCAGGATGTTTCTTCAGGTGCTGCCTGTCGCGCACGTTGCGTTTGTGTCTCAGCCTCATTCGGCCCATGACATTGCTGCTGCGGCCTCGGCCGGACGGAGAAGTGGGCCCTCTGGGGCACTGGACTGTGCCTTCAGAACCTTCAGAGTGCCGACAGCATCATGTCACAGCTGCAGCAACGCCTGTGAAACGAAAACTTGCGAAACCAGGACCCAGCCACAGTCTGAGGCAAAGTCAAAGCCCTGTACCTCACTGATGCCTCAGGCCTGTGAGGTCGACTCAAGTGGTTCTGGTGATCTCGCCGGGCCGAGGCTCTCCTTCAACGTCGGGTAAACATTCGGAAACAACTCATATAATGTTGGACTCGGTTTAGTATCCAGGGGATATCCAGGGGTACCCCCCCCCCCCCGGCCTCCAAACAATTTTGGGGTTTTCGGGGATCCTGTATAGGCTGGGACGGGGGCTGGAGGCAGGGCGGCTAGGGGTCGAGGGTTGAGCGGAAGCGCTTGAGGGTCTAAGCTTTCCAGGCTTTGTAGCTCCCTGGCCAGGGGTGCTGCGGACTAATGCGGGTAACCGAAACAATTTACTAAAAGCGAATCAGGGCAGCTCGTTGGCTACTCCCTTGGAAAATTGTTTGGGGGCCTGTTTCGTAATGAAATTTTAAAAGGAGTTTAAATATAGCTGGACACCAGAAAATTCCGGAGTTTCTTATTCAAAACTTGTTTTTTTTGGCTCACCCCGCCCTTCATCCCCGGCCCGGCAACATCGCATAATTGAGGCCCACCCTCATCAATGGGGGGGTCTCCTATAAGACTTCCGGAAAAAAGCTTAATGGCGTCCCCTCCAATTAAACCGCGTGCAACATTAACTTTTAACTCTTGATTTTGTCAGGTATTCGGGGAGGTACGGGGCCAATCCCCAAACCCCTCCTTAGGGGATTTGCACGTGTAGGGTGAAGAGGAGGTCTCCTGAACTTCAGGGGGCGGATGCTGGCCGTGTTGGCGGACATCCTGTTCAGCTTCCTGCGCGTCCTGCCCCAAGCAAGGCCAGGGGGGGGGGGGGCGAAGGTTGTGCATGCTCCCTATATTCAAGATTTGGCAGGCAAAGGATGGTCATGGGGCCTTTATACAGTCGATGGGAGACTTGATGTGCTGACGCATACTATCGGATGATTTTGCACTATCAGACTTCGAGTTGTTGAGTTGTTTTAGGGGAGACTGCGCTGCCTCAGACAAGACGCACATCTAAACCCTCTAATTCAGATCGTCAGGATCGCAAACTCAACATGATTTGAAGCATCCCGAGATAGAAAGAATTGCAACCAGCTTGCCACATAGATAGTTCTGGTTCGTCGTCATGCTTCTGCCTCTAGAACAGGCGCCAAGTTCGGCATCTGCTCCGGACGAAGATCCTGCGCGTGAAAATCCGGGATGCACTTGCATCGTCACCTGTCCCGCGTGTGGCAATCTCCTGAGATGGCCGCAGGCTCGGTTGCAAGGCGAGGTATGGCACCTGTGCAACCAGCCCTCAGATCATCGAACAACTCTCCCCCCAAAAAAGAAAACAAATTGGAGGACCTCGTAAGTATGACGTAGGGCTACTTGCTTTGTGGGATGGGGAAGGGTTGCCAATTTGGGGTTCAGCCCTCAGAGTCCGGCCTTTGCAGGTCGCGGTGGTGGCGCACCTTCAAGACAGGAGAACAGGAGCGAAGGGGGGGGAGGTGCTCACTACATCCATTCAGAAGCATGGAGGACTGATGAGGACTGCAGAATCCTCTAGCCATCGAGGGCCTAAACCCATCTAAACCCCAAAGCCTCTTAAACTTTCACCAAGGGCCGCGCCGGCAGTCCGGGTGGTGGGTCTCGACCTCACTCAGTGCTAAAGAAGCACGGAAGCGACCCGTGGGTTCCAAGTGGAATCTGGACATCTTGGCGATCAGGCAGCTGATTTCCTGGAACTTGTGTGGGGCTGCGGCTCTGCGGCTTTGTCCTGCCAGGTCTCCTGGCGCAGCATTGCTAAGGTGCTTCGTTTGAAGCCACTTCTGAGGCTGGTTTGCGAGGTCCACAAAGCCTGACCAGTTCTTACTTGCGACATGCACCCTTTCATTACGTGCCTTTTCCTACTCTTGGAATAGGGGGCTCCTAAACCCTAAACCCTCAACCCCTCTAAAGCAGACCCTGGGACAAGAGCCGTATGGTCAAGGCTCCTCTGGCTCCAGAGGAGTACCCAGGCAGGCAACGACGAGGCAAGAACCTGGGCAGATAGATGTTATACTCGGATGGCCCTAGATTCCTAACTATGGTTGTCACCGGCAGCTAAGAACAGCAACAGCAACAGCATTCTCTCCGTGCATCATGCCCACCAACATTGGAACTAGGTCTTCGATAAGCCATGGCCAAGGCCAGACACCAAAGCAGGTCAGCGACCCCGCAGTGAAAGTGCATGCATTTGGCTCATGATAACTGGGCAAGCTGCACACCAACGTCAGGAAAATCACGGTGAGGACTAGCAAGCTGCCACTGCCTGCTTCAGCCCGCAACACAAAGAAAGCGGCAGCACATTCCCTTCCACCCGCTCGATAGTGCCAAACCAACTATATCGAAGCCAAGTCCATTTGAGGCCCTCAATGACATGACTCCGATGCTTGCAAAAGTCCATGCGCTGCAAAGTGACTGCAAAGTGCCTGGGCTCTCTATCGACAACTTATATATCACTTATATCCATCAAGAGTATTCCTCATACCTTCACTGGCCCTCTTCCGTGGGCCTTTGGAATCGGGCTCCTCAAAAATGGGCATCTGGTGGAACTCCCCACCATCCATGGGCAGACCATCCATGTACACGGTGAAGTAGGACAATGGATCCTGCAGCGTCGGGCTGGGGATAAGGGGTTCTTCCGGGGTCGTGATGAGCAAGCGATGGTCTGGAGTCTGAAGACAGGATCTTTCGTTTGCAAGGTGATTAACCCCACTTGAGAGACATTAGGGCAAATCCTGCCAGTTCGAATTCCGCAGATTCTCCGGCGAAGGCGAAGGCGTAGGCGACACCACCTGCGTGGCCACAAAGGCATCCTTGTGCATCCCATCGGCCCTTCACATTTGGGCCGCTCATGCCGCTCTCTGCGTAAGGATGCTACCTGCTCTGAGAGCAGCAAAGGACCACCAGTACCCCAGAACATGATCATACATGATCTGAACCCTAAACCCTAAACCCTAAACCCTAAACCCCAAAGCCTCAGCTTCTGGATCTTGCAGCACCACGGCTTGACCAGCTCCAGGGTGGCTCGTCCGCTGTGCCACCTTCGACATTGAAACGCTGATGGGCGTTTGCCGCAAACCATGCTGCTCTTCATTATCTACTGATTGCTTAAGAACCCCCAAGAAATCAAGAGATTCTTCCTTATAAGAGTAACATAGGGATTATCATTTTTTAAATTCTTTTGGGGTTCTAACAAATAGTAGTTACGGGCATGAGGACGGCGGCATTCGGCCTTTTTTACACTCACTGTCGTCAGGGACGCGTGTTAACAGCACAGAATCCTGAAATAGGACACGAGCCTGCATCAGGCTCCCCCGACCATCTGTCTTCAGGCCATCCTGCTTCGCGCAGGGAGGGCAGGGGTTCTAGACCCACAATCGTAGTCAGTCTGCCTGTAAGGGCGAATGGTACCTCGTTGAAAGTTCCTGTGCTCCTAAAGGTGGCTTTTGGCTACTATGTAGTCACAATGGTATTCTTGGGCTGGGATCAGCAAGACCTGGCAACGACGACAACGCTGGTATTCTTCCTGCCCTTCTTTAGAACTCAGCTCATAAAATGGGAGCTTAGCCGCAAACTATTTGCTACCTCTTGCCCAAGCATGCCAAAACTTTTGAGAAAACCTGTCTTCATGTTTAGCAAACTGAGGCTGGGACTACTTGCCGTGGACAGTTTTGGCTTGCAGCTGCCTGGAACTGGCTGTCAGTTTCGATGGAGGTGCGAGTGCTGTTGAGGCTTCGCGGCCTTGAAAACACGACACGGGATGTCCCGTAAGCATGTTCAAGAACGAAGCCAGCACGAGTCGTCCCTAAGTCCCTAAGTCTCGAAGGCCCTGTAAGTCCCCGAAATACTTCGGACATGGCCCCAAACCCTAAACCATTCACCTCATGGGCTGACACAGCAGCTCAGGACCTCATCAGCCAAGGTCAACTGAAGAGAAAACCTGGGCAACAGACGCATTGCTGCGGATTGCCTCTGAAAGAGACAAAAGCACGGCCCAAATCCTGAACCCTGAGCCCTACAAACCTTTACAACCCTAAGCCCTGAACCCTAACACCTCAGCCCCGCAACCCCGAAAAACTCAATCAAGCCCCTTTTTTGTTGCGCGTGGGCTCGCTGACGGATGTAGCCGGAACGAAGCGCTAGAACTCCCTCAAAACCCTGATCCCCCCGCCTCTTCCCCCTCCCCCCTTAGAACCCTATGCCCAGCCTGGGACCTTGGACAACAACTCCAGGCATTACAGGAGGACGTGGGTTGTGAGTGCTGGTGAGTGTCCGTGGACAGTCTAATCGCTCAGTTCTAGATAGTGTAAGCTTGCGAACCAGCACCACTATACTTACATCGGTGGGCAGACTCTGGCGCGACCTGCACCGTGAACCAGCCATCACAAGTGACGGAAGGCAGGCTGGGGGCCAGGCGCTAGCAGGAAGAGATATGTGAATGCAGCCTAGGCTGGACTGATGTCGGAGCGAGGCAGCAAAGAAGATGTCAGACTTTTCCAAGCTTGGTTCTCACGGTTCGAAGGGCGTAAGGGGGCCATGGGAAATTCGAAGAACATAGATGCAGCAGAGGTGCGGCCATGAAGTTCTGCGTCGGCTTTACGCCGATCTCAGCCCAAGCCCACTCATACTTGCAAGTCGGAAAATGTCGGAAATGAACTGGAACAAGATATGGGGGTATACGAATTAAGGGGTACCTTATTGGGGTCCTTCATATAAGGGGATCCTACTATTTGGGGGTCGAAAAAAGGGGCCCCTTATTATCGTAAACCCCCATATGACGCAGCACCAATCGCAGCGCCAGAGCAGAAACAGCACAGGTCCTGCGCAGTGGAAGATCGACCCAGCTGAGCTGAGCACCAGTAAGAAAGGTAAAATGATGTGGGCGTTCACCTAAGCTGAAGGCAGCCTCTAGAAAGGCTTTCGTCCTTTTCAACACCTCCTGAAAACTTACAGTGGTCATTCCAGTACATGAAACCTCAAGAATTCTGCGAGGCCCAGTCGATTTCTGTGAACACAAAAAACTGGTGCTTGCAGGTAGCTTGATGTAAACCTATCAAGCCTCAGGAAGATCCGATCGGACCTCGCTGGAAATGTCAAGCGCGCTGTCTTTGCCAGGGAAGTCGGCTGGCTCGTGTGGCATTTTCAGTGATGCAGTGACTCTCCATGGATTTTGTGGATAGCACGATGTAGAACTGCTTGTGCGCGCACACAGCCAATTTGCACCTTCTGCCGACCATCAAAAGCCAAGTGCTGTGATCACCACCTTGGCATCCCCCCCCCCCCCCCCCCCCCTCCAATCCGTCCAAGGCGCATGGAGTCGCGTAGGGGCGCAACACCAGTCCTCGCCCTTCGAGGCATGTGACTCTTGAGCCGAAAGCCCCTGGACATGTACGTTCATCTCACGAATGCATGAACGTCCGCACCAAGAGAGAAAGCGCCCAAAATTCAACGACGACCCCCCCCCCTCTCCCCGCCGAACAACGTGAAGATGCGCGGTACAAGCATGTCTTCTCGATATCTTTGTTCTGTCTTTGTCTTTATTTGTTTCTTTCTCCAGTTCTTTCTTTCTTTATCTCTTTCTCTCATTCTTCTGCGCACTTAATCAACCCTCCCCTCTTCCTTCCTTCCTTCTTTCCTGCCCCAAGCTCGCTCCGGCTCTCTCTCGCTCTCTCAGTTGTACAAAAACTTCCGGATCATCTTCCTGAAAAGGCCGCGTTCGAGAGCTGCGCAGGTTTCACAGAGAAGGCCAAGTATGGGAGGAGGGGTCCCTATTGGCGGTTCCAGCACAGCAAATTATTTCGTCGGTGTCGAATTCTGGGTGCATGGTTGAGGAGAATAAGAAGCATGTCGTCAAGGTGCGTGTGCAGTGAGAGTGAATAGAGCTTACAGAGCAAGCATAGGCTAACCCCACACCTCACATCCTATACTCCCCCCTATACTTTGACCCCAATTCTCTAACCACCTAATAAACCGACCTTCCTGATACAACCCAAACCAAAGCACTACATACATCCACCAGCTTACCACAATCCTGACCCACAAAAACCGAAAGCACCAGCTAACCCCACACCTCATGCCCTATACTCCCCCCTACACTTTCACCTCATTTCTCAAACCGCCTAACATTTCAACCCTTAAATCCCGCAAAACACAAAGCACCTCCCAAAACCAACACAATAATCCCGAAAACAAAGCAACCCACCAACCCAATACAACAGTCCAAAACATAATCCAAAACCCGAAGCGCCTAAACAAATCCTACCCTCAACCATAAAATAACCCATATCCTAATATGAGGTGTGGGGTAAGACCCTAATCGAAAAACCCCAAAAGATTATAACCCATATCCTATAGAATTTTACCAAATTTAATTAGTAAAATGCTATTTAACTATCAGCAATGCCAGTTATTATAATATTTGCTTGGTGCTTCAACTACTTTGAAATCTATGCGTTCCAATCTTTCTTTACTACCAACATACCGTGTTCCTTGTTTGTGTATTTCTAACCAATGATACTTTTGTAATTTTTTATGCCACGTGAATTTAGGAGTATATACATATGGCTCGTCTAAATAATTTCGTCCGTTTTGGGCTTGTTCCATAAATTTCAGTATTGCTTGTTTGATTGGCACAAAATTCTTCGTTTCTACTTGTTCAAGTTGAAATATGTGATTCGCGGCTGTTACTAGCAGTTTGTCGTATTGTGTTTTAAAATCTTCTTTTTCTAGTTCTTCTTGCTTTTCTCCACAAGCAGTTAAGAATTCATTAATAATTTCCTCCTGTTCCTCATAACTAAACATATTATATAATTATTATACGTAATATTTCTTTAAATGGTTTTTGTAAAATACAGAAAATTTAATATGCTCTCTCTTGGTTGTCAAACTTAATCTCATAATATTCTAATGTCTCTTTCTTTGGAAACTTAATGTCCTTGTTATTCAGTTTATTAACATAAACATTTCTCTTATTCTTGTAAATATCACTATCTTTATCCATTGGTTTTTTTAATTTGTTTAGGTTTCTCTTCGTTAAGTTTATTAACTGCCTTTTCAATTAGTTCTAACTTATCTAATATCTTTTGAAAGCGTGTTGCCTTTGTTTCTTTAACCTCATCATCCAAATCACTCATCTTACTATATAAAAGTTTTAGATTAAAACTTTTTTTAAAAGTTTTAGTCTAAAAGTGCGTTTAAATATGTAGTTAAAAAGACTACAATTTAACATATGCCATTTTGTATTTGTTCATACTGTCTAAACATCTCCTACATAACTTATTGTATTCTATGTTTTTGTTTTTACTCTTGAAATATTGATGATTTCTACATATCTTACAACTCGGACAATATCTTACGTTATCTAACCCGCTTTCACAACCGCATTTATCATTAACATAAAACGATACAATGATTTTTTCTACATATCTAACCATATACTTAACTGATTTTTTATAATAATTATTATAAAAACCAATTCCTTAATGCTTTAACGAAACTAATTAAGCACCTGCTTATGAGATGCTATTGAATGTTCAATCATTTACTTTCCCCTTTCAATGAGACCATTCAATGTGAAACGAAAGGCGTTAGGGGTCTCTCTTCCAAAATGGCATACTTGCCCTGTCATATTATTTAATGACTAATCTTTTAAATATCAATCCATCATATTCAAGTTATTTTTTAATGCATTAATATCCTTCTTAACTTCTTTCATATCTTCCCTTAGTTCTTCTAATTGCTCTTCTGTCTCTTCTGGTGTAATTTGTTTTCCTGTTCGTCCAAAACCTGTATCGCATTTAGATATATCGCCTAACTGTATGTTGTCGTTTGTATTCTTGAAGATTTCATCTGAT